TGGTGATCAAACATCAAAACCCTAGGCTAAGCACAACTCGAGAGGATAGAGCAATTATCATGCATATGAACAAAATCGAACCGGAATGATATTCCCCTAACCCTAGCTAATGGATTTAGCTACTCATCATGCATTCAACATCAGCAAACATAATAATCAAAGCCATTCAATCAATAATAAAACCAAATGAAAGCTTACGATTGAATAATCCAATGTCGAAAACGAAAGCAAACCGAATCCTAAAGTCGAATCCCGGAGTTTTCCTCTCCAAGATCGAATCACAAGATCAGAAACAAGAGAAAATTTGAGTTTTTGGGTGAAAATCCCTAGAGAGTTCGAAAACTAGATCAAAAAACGAATGAATGTTCAAAATAAAAAAACTGCTATTTTAAATTCTGAAAACGCGCACTCCGCGGCCGCGGACAAGCGCGCGGGCCGCGGTGAAGGAACGGTCTGCGGCCGCGACTCGTCCCGCGGCCGCGACTTTTCAGCTCTGTATGCCAGCGTTGGAATTTCGGGCATCCCGCGGCCGCGACTTCCTCTCCCGCGGCCGCGGTGAAGAAAACTGGGCGCTATGTGCTATTTGTTCACCGCGGCCGCGGGAACACTGTCGCGGGCCGCGGTGAAGGATTTCTGTGACATGGCTGTGATTTCCGGGCTCGTATCCACGCATTCGGACTCGGAATTGGATTGCGTCTTTTCCTACTCGACCCCAACTCTTGGACAACGGTCACCTCGCGGCTGCTTACCGAACCACCTAACCTGCATATTGCCACCACCAAGAAAAACGCAGAAAACCGAGAAAAAGAAACACGAAAAACCAAAAACGAGCAAAATAAAGAAAACACACGACACAACATAAAATGGACCAAGAACCAAAGAAAATAACCTAGAATGGGGAAAAATAAATGCAAAATAAACGAGGAAAATACGACAAAAATGGAACGAACAAATGGCTTGGAACGTCGATAGATTGCGGGAGGTTCGGACAAAAGATTCAAATCAGAAGTCATTCAAACTGGTCTGCAAATCGAATGCAGATGTGCCTTGTCTGTGGAAGGCTCGGGTGAATAAGGCCAGACGGTGTGATGATTTGTGGGAAGTAACTGAATGGACTGACCAACACACTTGCATGCAACAGGTCGACATAAATGACTACAGAAACGTTATCTCCCATATGATTGCGAATCTTATAATTAATAAGATTCAGAAGAAAGTGGAGTACAGTGTTAACATGGTCTAGGCTGATGTGCAGAAGTGTTGGAAAGTCGACATCAGTTACAAGAAGGCATGGCAAGGCAGAAAAAAAAAAAAGCAATCGAGTTTGTGTACGGCTGTTGGGAGTCGAACTTTGCATAACTCCCTCAGTAAGCAAAAATTAATTACAAATATATGAAATTGTTTTGCAGAACTCCCTTAGTTTATCTGTCACTATGTTTATTTATTTATGAAATTGTTTTGTATTGTACAGATATTTTGTCGAGCTTCAAAGAATGAATCCCAACACAGCTGTAGATTGGGAATTTCAGGGTGGTGATGTAGCGCGACACGTTCCAGACAGAGAATTCAAATTTGTGTTCTGGGCGTTTGGTCCCGCGATTCGACCCTTCGAAATGTGCCCGCCGGTTATTAGCGTCGATGGCACACATTTACGTGGACATTACAAAGGAAAATTGCTCGTGGTCGTAGCACAGACTGTGAATAAGCGGTTATTGCCAATCGCGTATGCGCTTGTCGATGAAGAAAGCAAGGACAGTTGGTCATTTTTCCTTAGGAATATACGACGATATGTTGTATTCGATAAACAGATATGCGTTCTTTCTGACAGGGATGTGGGTCTACGTAGTGCGATTGAATCATTACCGGATTGGCAAGAACCCGCTGCGTATCACCGGATTTGCCTTCGACACCTTCGAAGCAACGTGGTGACTCGATTCAGGAGTAAGAAAATCCGGAATTGGTGTTGGGAGTTGGGTTCGCAGTTGTCGAAGCAAAAGTTTCGACAGACAAAACAGCGACTTCAAGAATTTAGTCCCAACGCATACAATTATCTCTTCAAAATTCCTTTGAACCAGTGGACCCTGTATCGAGATGAAAAACGTAGATGGGGCATCTTGACAACGAATATGTCGGAGAGTTACAACAATGTCCTGAAAGGGGTTAGGTTCCTACCGTGCAGAGCTTTGGTAGAGGCCACATTTCAAAAAACTCTGGATTTGTTTCGACAAGAACAAAACAAGTCCAGCAGATGCAGGAGTCCCATTGCTAGGGAGCACTATGTCGCATTTTTGCAGTTGGAGCAAACAGCCGTAACTCACGGGGTGGAATGTACGGACTACGACAGATCTATGTACGCGGTGACAACCGGTCTACGTGCTAGTGGAAGAGGGCAAAACAAGTAAGTATATGTTTTTTTTTTGTTGTTCATTCAATTTATTTTTTTTTTTTGTATATATATAAATCAATGTGGAAATACAAGTATAAAGTTGATTACCCCGCAAAATGTTGTATTTGTCGGAAGTGGCAGACGCATAGAAAACTGTGTTCTCATGCAATAGCTGTCTTCGTAGAATTGCGGGTGACCCAAAGCTGTTGTACGATAAACACTTCTGGACGTCGACTTGGGTAGCTCAATTTAGTAATTGGAGTTTTACTCCGATTGGTAATCCGGATACATGGCCGCCGGTGGGATGGAATTTGATTCCAGAGTGGGAGAGGATCATCTTGAAGCCTGGACCCGCTCGCAAGCAAACGAGACGCTACCGCATGCAAATGGATCGTCGGGCACGACGCAGAAATGAGAGGGGACATTGTACTAGATGCGGTGATCCAGAGCATGTTGTGGATGAGTGTCCGTCCTCACATCCTCGCAGCGATAGGTCTAGACTTCGTGATGTGTGGGGAGATTATATTTTTTATTGTTTATTTGGATTTGTTTGGATTGTTCATTTGGATTTGGTTGGATTATTTATTTTGTTTTGTTTGTATGATTTATTTGGACTTTGTTGGATTGTTCATTTTAGTTGGATTGTTCATTTTGGTTTAGTTGGTTGTTTGGAATATGCATAGAAAAGTGTTAAAGGACGAAAAATGACAAAATCGAGCCGCATATGGGTCACACGACTCGTGTGAGTAGGTGACACGAGTCGTGTGGCTACAAAAGAATGCAGATTTACCTACGGCTTTTTCACGCGGATCGTGTGTCATGTGACACGGGTCGTGTGACGTCACACGACTCGTGTGAGCCGGTCGTGTGAGTCTGGGAGTTTTATTTTATATTTGACATACAACGGATTCCCGGAATCCGTTTTTAAGGGAATTATTTATAAAACGGATTCCGGGAATCCCTTTTTGTAAAAAAAAAAATGGTAGAGGTTTCCAGATTGGGGACTCGAACCCGGGTCAATGGGTGAGTCCGGTTTCTCCGGGCGCACCTCGTACCATTGTGCCGGCAGACACTTTCCAATTTTTTTTGTACAAAGTATATACATATTCATACTAGTATTTATAATAATATGATTTAATATATATTATATGATATGATATAATATATAATATATAAAATAATATACTATATATTATAATATACTATACTATGTGTTCGTTCCATTTTTGTCGTGTTTTCCTTGTTTATTTTGTATTTATTTTCCACCATTCTAGGCTATTTTCTTTGGTTCTTGGTCCATCTTGTGTCGTGATTTGAGTTTTCTTTATTTTGCTTGTTTTTGTTTTTTTCTTGTTTTTTTTTCCCGGTTTTCTGCGTTTTTCTTGTCGGTGGTGGTTTGCAGGTTAAGTAGCTCAGTTGGGAAGTGGCCATGCGAGGATTATACCTAGACGGATGAGTTGGGGTCGAGTAGAAAAAGACGGGATCCAATTCCGAGTCCGGATGCGTGGATACAAGTCCAGAAATCGCAGCCTTGTCACACAAAACCTTCACTGCGGGCCGCGACTGTGTTCCCGCGGCCGCGGTGAACAAGCCATGCCCAGCCCCCAATTTTCTTCACCGCGGCCGCGGGAGAGAAGTCGCGGCGCGGAAGTCCCGAAATTTCAACTCGGCGAACAGAGACGAAAAGTCGCGGCCGCGGGACGAGTCGCGGCCGCAGACCATTCCTTCACCGCGGCCCGCGAGCTTATCCGCGGCCGCGGACAGCGCGTTTTCAGCTTTTTAAAATAGCAGTTTTTTTTAGACGGAGGCAATTGATGTTTTGGATCTAGGTTTCGAAATTCTTAGGACTTGGGATCGAAAAACTCATATTTTCTCTTGTGTTTGATTTGGGAACTCAATCTTGGAGAGAAAAACTCTGAGATTCGACTTTTGGATTCCGTTTATACGTGTTCTCGACATTGGATTCGTTAATCGTAAGCTTTACTTTCGTTTTCTTTTGATTGAGATGGCTTTGATTATTGAATATTTTGATGTTGAATGCATGATGAGTAGCTAAATCCATTAGCTAGGGTTAGGGGAAGATCGTTCCGGTTCGATTTTGTTTATATGCATGATAATTGCTCAATCCTCTCGAGTTGTGCTTAGCCTAGGGTTTTGATGTTTGATCACCATCTAAATCTAATTAATCGATTTTAAAACTAAAAAGGGAGAAATCGTTCGATCTAGGTTCGTTAGGAATAAGCTTGTTCGTAATAGTATTGCTTATGTGTTGATCCTTTCATGAATTACTCGTTTATGTCTACCCTCTTGTTACGAAGAGTTATTGAGGATAGATCTCTAGATGAGTGGTTTAGCGAGACATTTAACCGAGCTTTTGATTGCTCGTTAAGTGTATTGAGAACCGGAATTGATCGACCCCGATACCCTAGCTCCTTTATAATTATTTGAGTTTGAACTTGTGATTCCTAGTTTCGTCTAGTTTTTCCAATTACTTGTTTTTCAATTCGTAGTTGATAAATTTAAACCCAACCATTCGAATTAGAGTGTTTAGATTTTGTTTCTTATTTAGTGTGTTTGAATAGTCGTGCAGTTTATTCCGGCTAACCTTCCTTGTGATACGACCCGGTGTCCGAGTCTTTCGACTCTACTCCGGCAAAAAATACTTACAACAAAATTGGCGCCGTTGCCGAGAAGCAGGAGAAGCAATTTCGGGATCTTTTCAACATGCTCGCCAAGGTAAATGTTAACTTTCCACTCCTTTATGTAATTAAGAACATGCCATCATATGGAAAATTCTTTAAAGACTTGGTGACAAAGAAAAGGATATTCGAAGATGGTGAAAAAGTGGTTGTGTACGAAGCGGCAAGTGAATGCAGCACGACTTGTCCAAGAAGGAGCGTGACCCGGGAGGCTTTATTATCCAGATCGCTTTGGGAAATGGGAAGGTAGCTTCGGGGATGCTTGACCTCGGAGCCGGAATAAATCTCATGCCCTTCTCAATTTTTCAGAGGCTTGGCCTTGGGGAGTTGAGGCCAACTCGCATGTGCCTCCAATTAGCAGACCGTTCCATCAGGTACCCAAATGGGATAGTCGAGGATGTTCTCGTGAAGGTGGGTAAGCTTATCATTCCAGTGGATTTCGTCGTTTTAGACGTTGGGGATGTACACGAGAAAGGGAAGGATCACACCATCCTTCTCGGGAGACCTTTTATGGCTACGACCAATACTCTCATCGATGTGAAGAACGGGATCCTGAATATGACGGTTTTAGGGGAATCGGTGTCTATTTCTGTCCGAGAGGCCATGTCTTCACTTCGGTCAATTTCATAGAAGAATGTGCTTTTATTGATGTTGCTGACCCTTTTGTGGATGAGATGGTATTTCAGGAGTTCGAAGACGTCTTGTTGCCGGCTTTTGAGGAAGAGGAAGAGCCTATAGTGGAGCTTTTTGAAGTAGGAGAAGGCCATACCCGAGCTGAGACCACACTCGAGCTTAAGGAGCTGCCCAAGAACCTTAAGTATGTTTTCTTGGATGATGCCCTTCAGAAGCCGGTGATCATCTATGCTGAGCTCGACAGTGAAGAAGAGGAGGAGCTGATATCCATGCTCAGAAAGAACCAGAAGGCAATCGGGTGGAGTCTAGGAGACATCAAGGGGATTAGTCCCTCTACTTGTATGCACCGAATTATCTTGGAGGATGGAGCCAAGCCTTTTCGGGATAGCCAGCGACGGCTAAACCCGAATATGATGGAGGTAGTGAATAAAGAGGTGCTTAAGTTATTTTCTGAGGGATTGATCTACCCGGTGGCTAGTAGTGAGTGGGTCAGTCCTATTCATGTGGTGCCGAAGAAGGGAGGTATAACCGTGATCGAGAACGACAAGAAGGAGTTGGTCCCCACCCGCATCACTACCGGGTGGCGCATGTGCATTGACTATAGGCGACTAAACGCCGTGACCAAGAAGGACCACTTCCCGTTGCCGTTCATTGACCAGATCCTAGATCGTCTATCGGGCCACCAGTTCTACTGCTTTTTGGATGGGCTCTCCGGCTACTACCAAGTGGCCATAGCACCCGAGGATCAGCCCAAGACGACATTCACATGCCCCTTTGGTACTTTTGCGTTCAGACGGATGCCCTTTGGCCTTTGCAATGCACCGGGTACGTTTCAGAGGTGCATGTTCTCCATCTTCTCGGATATGCTTGAGGACTGCTTGCAGGTATTCATGGACGACTTCTCTATATTTGGTGATTCATTTTCTCATTGCCTTCGTAATTTGTCTAGAGTCCTTGAACGTTGCATTGAGTCCAATTTGACTTTAAGCTGGGAAAAGAGTCATTTTATGGTGAGAAGTGGAGTTGTCTTAGGTCATGTTGTTTCTTGTAGTGGGATAGAGGTCGACAAGGCCAAGGTAGATGTTATTGAAAAACTTTCCACTCCTGTGAATGTTAAGGGGATTAGGAGTTTCTTGGGGCATGCGGGGTTCTATAGGGGTTTCATTAAAGATTTTTCTAAAATTAGTCAGCTTCTATATCATTTGTTTGCTCAGGACGTGCCATATGTGTTTGATGATGCCTGTTTGTGTGCTTTTAATGAATTAAAGAGCAAGCTTGTGAGTGCCCCTATTGTGATTGCCCATGACTGGTCTATTCCTTTTAAAATCATGTGTGATGCGTCTAATCTTGCAGTGGGCGCCGTTTTGGGTCAGCGAGTTGATAAGTTGCTTCGAGTGATTTATTATGCTAGCTTGACTCTTAATGGGGCCCAGCAGAATTACACTACCACCGAGAAGGAACTTCTAGCCGTGGTCTTTTCTCTTGAAAAATTTCGATCATATATTTTGGGTTCTAAGGTGATTATTTACTCTGACCATGCGGCTTTGAAGTACCTTTTGAGCAAAACTCATTCTAAACCACGGCTCTTCCGGTGGATCTTGTTACTGCAAGAATTTGATGTTGATATAAAAGATAGGAAAGGTTTTGAAAACGTAGTTGCTGATCACTTGTCACGCATTTTACCATCTGAGTCATCATCTTCATTGATTGTGCATCATTCTATTAATGATAATTTTCCTTATGAACATGCGCATGAAGTGTCGAAAAGTGTTTGGTATGCTGACATTGTGAACTATTTGTGTTGCGGTAAATTACGGCCTAATCTCTCTTCCCAAGAGAGAAAGCGTTTTATTGCTGTGTGTAGGGGCTACTTCTGGGACGAGCCATTTATTTTCAAGATGGGGAAGGATGAGGTGCTTCGAAGATGTGTTCCAGAAGAGTAACAAGCTGATGTCCTCACATTCTGTCATGCGTTCCATTATGGAGGCCACTTTGGCGGTCAAAAATCCGCTTTTAAGGTATTACAGTCAGGTTTGTTTTGGCCATCCTTTTTCAAAGACGCTCATACTTTTTGCAGTTCTTGTGATCAATGCCAAAGAACTGGGAATATAGGTCGCAGAAATGAGATGCCCTTGACTAATAACCTTCAAGTCGAAATTTTTGATGTTTGGGGCATTGATTTTATGGGACCGTTTCCTAAGTCTAATGGCTATGAGTACATTTTGCTTGTTGTAGATTATGTGTCTAAATGGGTTGAGGCAATCCCCACGAAGACATGTGATGCTAATATTGTGATCAAGTTTGTGCAAGGGTGTATATTGAGTAGGTTTGGGTTCCCAAGAGCGATTGTGAGTGATGGAGGGAAACACTTTTGCAACAAGCTTTTCGAGAAACTGATGAAGAAGTACTGCATTTCACACAAAGTGGCTACTCCATATCACCCACAAACTTCGGGCCAGGCTGAGACCAGTAATAAGCAGATCAAGAGCATCTTAGAGAAGACGGTCAACTCATCAAGGAAGGATTGGTCGAGCCGGCTCGACGATGCATTGTGGGCCCAACGTACAACATACAAAGGCGTTTTGGGCATGAGTCCTTTCAGATTAGTCTATGAGAATGCTTGTCATCTACAAGTTGAGATTGAGCATAAGGCTTTGTGGGCGATCAAGAAGGCGAATTTTGATCTCGATGCAACCGGAAAAGCTCGATTGTTGCAGCTCTCGGAGTTGGAAGAAAGAAGGAACGGGGCATATGAAAATGCCAAGATCTACAAGGATAAGGTGAAGAGACTCCATGATGCCCACATTGTTCGAAATGAGCTGGTACCGGGCATGAAAGTCCTTCTCTACAACTCTCGACTTCGTCTATTTCCGGGGAAACTCAAGTCCCGGTGGAGTGGCCCGTATATTGTTGATGAGGTACTGTCTTTTGGGGTTGTTAGACTATGCAATCTGGCCAATGATGAGCTATTCACGGTTAATGGGCAATGAGTGAAGCCCTACTTCGAGAAAGAGTTCGGGAAGTACCATGTCGAGACCATCGGTCTCGGCGAACCAGCGTATCCTTGATTTAACTTAGATTCTTCTGTACTTTGTGTATATATATATATATATATATATATATATATATATATATATATATATCTATATATATTTATTAATTCTTTCTTTTTCTTAGAATTTTCTTTCTGACTTTCTGAATTGTTTTCATTTAAAAAAAAATATATATATATTTTGCTGGCCGCGGCCACGGGCTTTTCTTAGCCGCGGCCGCGGCGATCATTTTTCACTTCCAGCCATTATGCAACAGGCTCGAAGTTCCGCGGCCTCGGAAATTTGTCGCGGCCGCGGAGGAAGGTCGGGGCCGCGGAGCTTTTTTTAGCCGCGGCCGCGGCGAACAAAAGATGTCGCGGCCTTGGAAAAGTCGCGGCCGCGGGACTCACGTTTTAAAGGGGCATATGGGCAGATTTTGATCATTCTTCTCATTAACAAAATATTCCTCTCGCCGGCGATTCCTTCCACACACCCATCAACCATTGAAATCATATACAAGTCCAGAAATTTCTCAGAGAATTCGTCATCGCTAACTCGATTTTCTCATTCCGGAATCTTCTCAAGCAAGAGTGGTGCGAATTTGGGGCTTACACTCGAGAACCCTAACGCCGACCCGCGTTGTTCACTGGAGTCGTCTCCGCTCGGCGACTCTTGCCGGCGTTCGCGTCCGTGACCTCCGACCCCCTGTGCTAATTCGCCTTCTCCGTCCGTCACTCCCACAAACATCCTCTACGGTTCATTCACTAATTCGGTTACTCAAATTTCGGGTAATTAAGTTTTTCTTGTTGAGTTGAGGGAGTTAAATATCATCTATAGTGATCGTTGAAGTGGTGAATTTGTTGAACTAAGCCGTGGTTGGGTTCCATTGCCTTCGTCATCGAGTGAACATCAACTTCAAATTCTTGCACGCAAGGTGTTCGATACATTGCCCGAAAGACACTACGACTTCTTTTGTAATGGGCAAGACTCCGATACGCCCCACTAAGAAGAAAGCCACTCAATCTGAGCCGGCTAAGAAGAGGAAGGCGGCCGAATCATCCTCACGACATGCTCCTTCGGACGATGATCTTTCGGATCAATACGGTGCCCTTTTCCCCATCTATTCTCGGAAAGAAGGCGAGACTTACTCCCGCCTATCGCAAAAAGAGGTTGTGCGGCCGAAAGCGGTGGATTGGAACCTTTTGAACGACTTGGGCATTCTCGAGGATGTTATGAAGTACCTCAAAGTCCTCAACCTTACCGAGTATGCCAAAATCGAAGAGCCGTCGTATCGAGGTCTAATGCTAGAGTTCTTTAGCTCATTTGTGCTCGCCTATGGTAATGAGTACTTCACTTGTCGGTTTTGGGGGAAAGAGTACACGGTGGATAATTCGGTGATGAAGCGGGTTTGTGGGTTCAACATGTCTGGGACGAGGCACAAGCCCATTGAATTCGATGCTAAGAAGCACATACTACTTGGGATTCCGCCGGCATGCCCAACAGACTCATTGAGGACTTAGCCACCGCGGTCGTGCACAAGTTCATTTGCTACAATATTTCTGGGAAAAAGGAGGCAAACAAAGTGAGCGAGATCGAGCTTTTCCTTCTTTGGGCGATGCGAGCAGGAGTGTCGGTGTGCTCTATGACTTTTCTCCAGAACTCTTTGGAGGATATCGCACTCAGCCAGTGTGGCACACCGGCACTTGGACATTTTGTTACCGCGCTGTCCAAACATTTTGGTGTCGATCAGCAGGATCCCATGCTTGACTGGTCCAAGGACAAGTCTGAGATGCGTTGCATCAATGAGCACGAGCTCAAGTCGTCAGACCTCATCAAAAGCCGAACTACCCCTCAAGAGTATACGCGCAAGGCCTACACGACCTACTTCAGGAAGCTCCAGCAGCTCCAGCAGAGCGCGTCAAACCCGGACCAGGCAAGGCCGTCTCGACAGCCGACCGGAGGCGACGAACATGACCAGATGAACGTCGATGACGACCATTTCCTCCCACCTCCACCTGTGTGGACTCCGGCCCCGAACCCACAGCCGGAGATTCCCCCTTAGCAACCACCGGGATGGTGGACCGCCTTTCAGACACAGTACACAGCTAACATCCGCTCCATCCACGACCGCTTTGATGCCCAGGACACCCGACTGGACGTTTTCGAGAGCCGTCAGGCCACCCAGTGGACCGGCTGGGAGACCCACCAATAGACTCAGTGGGATCATTGGGAGACCCAGCAGCAGACCCACTGGACTCAGATGGACACGCGCTTCGATGGCTTCGGTGATAGCCTTCGGTCTATTCGAGAGCGGCAGGACCAGTAGGATGCTCGACTGGACAGCTGGGATCAGAGGTTCTCCCAGTGGGACACCCGTTGGGGCTCGGGACCCAGTCAGCCCTACCCACCACCGCCACCACCGAACGCACAGTGACTTGTCACTGTGCTTAGTATGTTTTCTTTTCCCTTTTCTCTTTTATTTTTTCGTGTCGGTTAATTATATGGTCTACTCTCTTTCACTGCGAATCGACAATGGGGACATTGTCTGATTTTAAGTGTGGGGGAGTTTACGTGCTTGCGTGACTATGTGGTAAACCATGTCTAGTTTTTATTTTAGGGTTGTTTTTCGTTTCTTTTCTGTTGCGTGGACCAGTCTAGTTTAGGTTTATTTGTTCTTTTGAGATGGACATTGGTGAATTACGAGATTGGTTTATGGTTGTTTAATGACGTTGGGAAGTTGTGATGATGATCTTGAGTGGCATATTTTGATTTGTGGCTCGATTGCTTTGATTAATACTCATACATATATACCCGGTGAGATTTGAGCCATATTCATTTCTTGTGCGATATTGGTCTAAATGTTGAATAAATCAGAACTTGCCTTGAGTCTGTTGTGAAATAAGTTGATTGAATTTGTGATAGGTGAACATGATAAAGGCATTCTTTGCTATTTGTGTATCTTTTTTCTTCTTTCGAGAATAATTTTCGCTAGTCACCCCCTTGAGCCCTACTTCTTATTTTCGTTGTTGACCCCGTGTTGATGATGTTTGGGAAATGAATGGTGTTGATTATCGAAGTTGTGATGGTGTTGATTATCGAAGTTGTTTATATTAAAAAAAAAAAAAAAAA